GATGGAGAGTGGGAGCATGGGCCAGAGGGGGGGGAGCGGGCGGAGGGCCCGGGCATGGGGCCCTTCAAAGTCAGCTGGGAAGCCACACCCATGGGCCGTGGACCATGAGCCAATGGGGCCAGGAGCCATGGGTTCAGTGGGGGGCGGGGTGCGTGGGGGTGGGGGTAGGGGTTGGAAGTGTGGGTGGGTGGGGGTGGGGGACGTGGGGCCGTGGCCCATATGAGCCAATGGGGCCAGGAGCCATGGTTTCGTGGGGGGGCGGGGTGAGGTGGGGTGGCATAGGGGTTGGAAAGTGTGGGTGGGTGGGGGGAGGGTTGGGCCGTGGACCATGAGCCAATGGGGCCAGGAGCCATGGGTTCAGTGGGGGGCGGGGTGCGTGGGGGTGGGGGTAGGGGTTGGAAGTGTGGGTGGGTGGGGGTGGGGGTTGGGGGTTGGGGGTGGCAGGGTGCGTACGGTATGGGGGTGGGGGTTGGGGGTTGGGGTGGAGCAGGGGCCATTTCTAGGACCAGCATTGGCAGCCATGCAGGTCGAGGGATGAGAGTGGGAGCATGGGCCAGAGGGGGGTAGGCGGAGCTGGAAGGGCGGAGGGCGGCGGAGGGCGGAGCGGGCGGAGGGCCCTGGCTTGCACTGGGGCCCTTTAAAGTCAGCTGAGAAGCCACACCCATGGGCCGTGGACCATGAGCCAATTGGGGCCAGGAGCCATGGGTTCAGTGGGGGGCGGGCCCATGACAAGCACAGGCGGCGGGGCAGGGTGCGTGCGGGGTGGGGGTGGGGGGTGGGGGTGGAGCATGGCGGGGTGCGTGGGGGGCTTGGGCAAGGGGAATGTATGCGGAGCGGGAAGGGCGGATGGGCGGGGAGCGGGTGCGTGGGTGGTGGGGGTAGGGGCGGAGGGGAGCCATGGGGCCAGGAGCCATGGGTCCATGGCCCTGCAGGTGACCTAGAGGGATGAAGAATGGGTGCGTGAGGGGTAAGGGGTAGGGAGCTGGGTCCATGAGGGGTAGGTCAAGGGGATGGAGAGTGGGAGCATGGGCCAGAGGGGAGTGGGCGGAGCTGGAAGGGCGGAGGGCGGAGCGGGCGGAGGGCCCGGGCATGCACTGGGGCCCTTTAAAGTCAGCTGAGAAGCCACACCCATGGGCCGTGGACCATGAGCCAATGGGGCCAGGAGCCATGGGTTCAGTGGGGGGCGGGCCCGGGCATGCACTGGGGCCCTTTAAAGTCAGCTGAGAAGCCACATTCATGGGCCGTGGACCATGAGCCAATGGGTGGGGGTTGGGGGTGGGGGTGGAGCCATGGGGCCAGGAGCCATGCGTGGGCGGCGGGGCAGGGTGCGTGCGGGGTGGGGGGGGTTGGGGGTGAGGGGCCATTTTTCGGACCAGCATTGGCAGCCATGCAGGTCGAGGGATGAAGAATGGGACCAGGGCCATGGGTCCATGAGAAGCATGGCGGGGTGCGTGGGGGGCTTGGGCAGCGGGAAGGGTAGAGGTGGTGGGGCCAGAACCCATGGGTCCATGAGGGGCATGGGCGGCGGGGCAGGGTGCGTGAGGGGTAAGGGGTAGGGAGCTGGGTCCATGAGGGGTAGGTCAAGGGGATGGGTCCAGTGGGGGACGGGGTGCTTGGCAGCCATGCAGGTCGAGGGATGAAGAATGGGACCAGGCCAGGAGCCATGGGTCCAGTGGGGGGGCGGGGTGCGTGGGGGTTGGGGTGGGGGTTGGAAGTGTGGAAAGGGTGGGGTGTGTGGGGGTGGGGAGCAAGGGGCCCATGACAAGCACGGGCGGCGGGGCAGGGTGCGTGCGGGGTGGGGGTGGGGGTTGGGTGGAGCAGCTCAAGGGATGAAATGGGTCCATGAGTGGGGTGTGTGGGGGTGGGGGGAGCCATGACGCCAGGAGCAAGGGGCCCATGACAAGCACGGGCGGCGGGGCAGGGTGCGTGCGGGGTGGGGGTGGGGGTTGCGGGTGGGGGTGGAGCAGCTCAAGGGATGAAGAATCGGACCAGGAGCCATGGGTCCATGAAAAGCATGGCGGGGTGCGTGGGGGGCTTGGGCAAGGGGAATGTATGCGGAGCGGGAAGGGCGGATGGGCGGGGAGCGGGTGCGTGGGTGGTGGGGGTAAGGGCGGAGGGGAGCCGTGGGGCCAGAACCCATGGGTCCATGAGGGGCATGGGCGGCGGGGCAGGGTGCGTGAGGGGTAAGGGGTAGGGAGCTGGGTCCATGAGGGGTAGGTCAAGGGGATGGAGAGTGGGAGCATGGGCCAGAGCTTTGGATGGGGTGTGGTGTCTTCGGTTTTTTTTGAAGCCACAGGCTCTGCGAGGCTAAGCAATGGTCAACAGGTAGAGCCGGGGTCTTTCCGCAGATGGCCCGGACTGCAAAGAAGGCAGTGACTTACTCTCCAGCTCTCAGCTCATCTCATTTCTCATTCCTCTCATTAGCCTCTCATTCCTCTCATCTCATTCCTCATCCATTCCCCATTCCTCTCAGTTCTGAGAGGCGGGGCAGTGGAAGGTGAAGGCCAGCGAGGCCAGCGAGGCCAGCGAGGCCGGGGCCGAGGAGGCCCCCTCCGTACGTCTCCTCTCTCTCACTCTCTCTCTCTTTCTCTCTCTGAGAGGAGAAAAAGGGGGGGTTTTGTCAATTTTCTCCTTCTCTCTCCCCCTTCTTCTCCCCCTGTGTTTTTTTTCCTCTCTTTTTTTTGCACCACAAAATGCGCACTCTGAAGGGCCACACATGTCGCGCAGGTGTGGCCTGAGTTTGGACGGCCTCAAGGGCCCAGCGCTCAGAAGGCCTGTCCGCTTCACAGTCCCCACACGTGCGCCCTCCGCAGGCCACGCCAGCGCGTCCACGAGGCAGCCGGGCTCAGCCGGGATGAAAGCACGTATTAGAGTGAGGAAGCCCAGGGTCAATGTGTCGTATGTGCCAGTGTTGAGAGGATCGCTGCACCGGAGTCATCACCGAATGGCCGCTCGGAGAGAGCTTGAGAAGTAAGCTTTGAGCAGAGCGCTGAGCACGTGAAGCAGAACTTTGCTGCAAGGCGGGGCTACATGGGCTGGATCGCGCCGCTTTGCAAGATAAGCCATGACCAGGCATGCCCTGATGTACGGGAATTTCCTGCACAGCCCAGCATCCAGTGCAGGCTTCCAGACACTGGGGCCTCATCTACGTAAGCCAGACTGACGTGGCTGTCTGGTGCTTAAGCTGCGGCTTTCAAAGGCAATCGCCATCGTGGCAGTTGAGGCCCTTCCTGGCGGCGCCCCATGGATGCGGGCGGGACGTATTGTGGACTTTCTGGCCTTTCGGCGCAAAGCCAGAGCACTCAGAGCACTCTCAGCTCTTAAGCTCCCTTCTCTCAGGTTTACTCAGATGGTGATGGCTTGGGTGCCGAGGAGGTGGCGCAAAATTGTCTTTTTTCCTTGGGACTGGAGAGAAGATGTGTGTGTTTCTCTTCAAAAAGATCTCTGAGAAAAGCCTCTTTCTTTTTTTGTTGCGAGAGATAGGAAAATAGGAAAGAAAGAGTGCCCTCCTGTGCTCTCTCAGCTTGTGCTCCCTCAGCTGTGAGGTGCGAGCGCTCTCGCCGCTGCAGCACGCCTAAAACAAGAGAGAATCGAAGCAGAGAGGAATCGAAGAAAAGAGCTCAGAGAGGAGTTTCGAGAGTTTCGGAGTTTCTGAGCTTTCTCAGTGGTATTTCTCCGTGTTGTCTCTCCGTGTTGTCTCTCTTGCCTTCTCTGCCCAGGAGGGTGACGCTCACCCATGCCGAGGAGAGCTGACATTCAGTCTTTTCTCAATTGGCATCTTTTTTGCCTCTTCTTCGTTTCTCCACTGCAGGCCAGGGCCCTGCTCAAGCAGGAGTCGGCTGGCCGCCCGGAGCGGTCTGAGTGCGCCTTCTCCCTCTCTTCTCGTATCAAAGGGTCCCATGATTTCTGCTTGGCTTTCCAGGGGAAAATCTCCATTTGGTGGAGGAAGGAAAGGAACAAGAGGAAGGAAGGGCGCTCGGGGAGGAATGGTTCGAGACCCTGAGACCTGCCTGCGACCTGCCTGAGCTTTGAAGATTCCCAAATCGGTCAATCTCCTCCAACATCGTGAACTCTGAGTCCATGTGGCCGAGTAGATCGTTTTCCTGCATGGTGTAAATCAAGGTGCAGCCTGCACGCACACACGGAGTGCGAAATGGCATGTCTGGATTTTTCGAGGTGTAATGGGATGCTGGGTTGACTAGGCGCAAAAGTTGTAGGGCTACGACACTTAACTACAGGCTACGTGTTGAGTAGGAAAATCTAGATTCTGCTGAAGTCTAATCGGCAGACTTCTACTTCCTCAATGCTTTAAAACATCATGTTTCCTCTGCATGTTAATCAGAAACCAGCGCTTTCAAGCGATGTGCTTTTCTGGCAAAACGCCACGCCAACATGTTTCACATGTTGCGCGTTGAAGGGAGATGTGTCCTTTGTTGGATGCAGAAGTATAGTGGAAGGTAACCGGAGCACTGATCAACCTTGTATCGTTCATTTTTTTGGCATGAGTTGGTTTTCAGTTGCACTCCAAGCAAACCGAAGCCCATCGAAATGATCAGTCACTTACTTGTTTGTTCGCAAAGCAATCGCTGCCTTCGTAGCATGTTTGCTTCCGGAGTGGCCTCGGTTTTCTCTCCACAGACGTCGTGGGAGGTACCTCGCGGACTCCGAGCATTACCTGAGCTTGATGAGCGACCTAGGTCAGCATTTCTTTCTGATTGTCAGGTAGATACCATCTTTCGCATCCTTGTGATCAGGTGTTCTTGTCAGGAAATACTCGTGGCCTTTGCCATTTGTGGCCCCTGCTCTGATTGCCCAGTTGGTCTTCTTGTTTACAAGGGAACCCATCGAGCATCATCGAACCGTTTTTCTTTTCAAAGTGCCAGGTCACCTTAGAGCTTTGGGGGCTGGTCGAGGACCGCGGAAAAACTCGCTTTGATAGCGCCTTTCCGCTGTGCCACCGCCAGAGGA